GTAGGGAATTACGCTGAAGAATATATTTCTTATTATGTTTTTGCTTTGGTAGGAGATGACTAGCTGATGAAAGTAGAGATAAGTGTGGTTAGTAAAGTAAAGAAATCATTTCAAAAATAATTCTTCATTCCATCATTGCGTCTAACATTCATTTTATTAATTTCATTATTTGTCCAAACTTGCCAGTGATGCAATATCGTCAGTTTTTTAAGAATTTAATTGCTGGCAGTCGTGAAAACGAGTGCATTCAGATTAACGCTTCGTGTTTCTCTTGTTTAATTTTCAGCCTTTATTCTTGATACAGGACTAACTGTTTTATTTTTTAGATCTTATCTTTTACTGAGATGGGTCATGATCACTTTGTTGCTTCTTATTGTGCAAAAAAATTTGCTATAATTCCTGGATTTCAAAAAAAAACTCTGCTTAACTGTTTTCATCAATCGTTTCTGTTTCTCTTGCTTCACTGCTTATCGCACTTATCGTTGTAAGTAGTCTTGGTAGGTCTAATCATGAAGAGTTGCAAAGCAGCTGAAGTATTTGGTATTTTAAGTATTCACAAGGCATTTATGGAATTGGTAGTTCAAGGGAGATCAGAAGTTGCTAAAGTTAAATCTAATTTGCCAATCAGAGAACGTGTCACGCTCCATTTGTTTCGATCTGTCTCTTTACTTTTCTCATAAAAATTTCTCAGTACGGTATTTGTAGTTATTTGCATTATTTTACTTTGAAATCAAAGATTTCGAGAAAATGCCTTCTCTGACCACAGGTTTATTTCAATTTATTTTAATTAGAAAAAAATCAGTAGTTGATACAAGCAGTGGCCGTGGTGATCTTAATTGATAGTGCAATCAACAACAGTATTTTTTAGTAACTGAAGACAGAAACTTCACGATATCAGTATATCTCATCGATTTCTTTATGTGATCTAAAATTGTATTACAATATTCAGTTTCATGTACCGCAAATTGCCTTTTTTTCAGTTGTGTTTTAGAAGTTCAATCATCGAATATACAACAATAAAACTGCAATCGTTCGTCTAGCTACATTAAAAGGTGATTTTGCTAAAGAGACATTACTGTTGGGTATTTTCCCAGTAGTCAAAGACTGAAGGAAAAGTTTTGTTGTTATTGCTTTTATGTAAAAAGATTGAAATATACTGTTTAGTTTTATTTATTTATGTCCTGGTTCCATTTTAAGATTTATGTCGTGATGAGAAAAAACTCTAGTTTTTAATTTTTGTATTATATCATTTTTGTTACACTAAGACAAATAATTATTCAAAGGCATTATTCTTAATTAAGAACTTCTAGAAAAAATGTTAGAACTTAAAATAAAATTTTCAGCTATGGTAAAGAAACATGGAATTGAAGATTAAGAATCTGTTTATCCAGTAGTTTTTGAAATGAATGCGACGTAAATGAAGATTGTATAGGACATAAATTGATTCGTTTTAAGCTCTTAACCTTTGAAATGGTGTTTCGGTTGGATTCAGTATTACTGGCGGAATGTTTGCGTGGAATAAGTCTCTTAAAAGTTATAGGTAATAGTATAGTATAAAAACTACAGCTAGAATGAATGGTAATCCTAAAAATTCATTTCTAAAAATTCACATAATCATAAAAATTCACAGAAATTATAGTAAATTGGCTTGTCATAAGGGATGATATATTTACTTAATGATATCAACGTAACAGTTGTAAAGACGTTAGGAGTAATCACAGTGTATGCAGTGAAAGAAATTTGAATCGTTATTTAATTGACAATAATTAGCTGCGTAGATCAATAACTGGAGAGAACGTGTAGCAAGAGAAAATATTGTATTTCTTCAGATCATTTATACAAGAAAATATGAGAGTTTTTTCGATTATATTTATGCTAAAAATGGTAGACGATAGTTGCAAATTGTCGCGTGATCAAAACTGCGGCAATAAGCTTTGTAGTGGTGGATGATAATTTTCAGGACTATTATTATTGCTAATAGCGTATTTATTGATAACAAAGTATATTTGTAATGGGAGACAAATAAGTTCCGTTGTTTTTTGAGAATTAGGCGGAAATTGGCGAGAAAAGATTTGTTTAATTGTGACTGAAATGCTATCATCATAGGCGATATTGACATTATTGATTAATGATTTGTTTTCAGCGCACAAAATACATTTGCTGAATGTGGGAGTGGAAAGGACGCAGTCATTTTGTTGTGACTTAAAACTTGTGACTTAAATTGTTATTCCCAGTTTGAGAATTAATGAAGTGGTAGATTGATTAGATACTACTTTCTTTTACTCTTATATACACAGTTAGTTATGTATGAGTAGTGATAATATGACAACACTCATGTATTTACCGTTATTAGGGGAAGTTTGTAATTGAAGGTAAGACAGGAAAAGAGGAGAAAGCTGGAAAGCAAGAAGTGATAATGTTCCCTTTTCACGTGTTATTTTGTCGTTTCTACGTCTTCTCGTTTTGCTATCTGAAATTTTTCTCTTTCATGTTCTCACTTCATTTTGATCAAATAATAAGTCAGCTATGAAAAACACTGAACTCTGGATAACAGAAGCGAAAAGCGGTCGCAAAGTAGTAGGCATCATTTTGATTCCAGCTCTTTTGAATGTGAACTTGTTTAATTTAGCTTCCGGAACTCATGTAGCATTCATTCGTGCACTCTTTATTTGGACAACTCTTCACTTTTGCTACTTCTCGCACTTCGTCCGGAAGTCGCCTTCATTGAGATTCTATAAATGCTATGCTAATTTTGAGTACAGATAGACATCAGTACATTGAAGTTGCTTGCTCATTATTAATTTCCGAACCTCTTTATAATGGAACAGTGAGAGGTAAAGGCAAAAACATTATGCGCAGTCTTCGTAATCTGGTCGAGAACAATGAAGATCCAAAATTTAGCTATTTCGAGTTGAGGACTGCTGATTGGTATCGAACTTATTGTTCATTCTGCACTAATCTTTTGTTCCATAATTTGCATTTACTCAAATTTTAAACTTTTGGCTTTTATAATTTACTGTACTTCTGCTTCGATGTAATATAAAGCTAATATTTTAAGAGTTAAAGCTAATGAAAAGTGTTCAGCTTATGAGAAATTTATGCTAGTACTTTTATGTTGTTGCACTTCTTTGTATTTTGTCGTGTCTTTAAGTTTCTTGTAGCCAGCCAGCTTTCTTGATCCAAAAAAGAAAAACGCTTAGTTTGTTTAATTTAAATCTGTTAAAAAATGAATGTCTTCAGCAAAACAATCCGCAATTTTCTCCACCATACAGTACTGTTTTCAAATATAGATTAATTTTCATAAAGCACTTACTCTAATATAACTTCGTTAAGTAAGAATTGAAATAAAAGCTAGTATAGCTCTCAGAAAATATTCTAGGTTTCTGTTATTGTTACTATCATTTGTCATTCTTAATTAGTAATATTAATTACTTTAAAAATTGATTAGATAATAATTATTATTATTATTATTTACTGTAGCTATTCATCATTATTATGATCATGATTATTATTGTTATTGCTGTCATTATTGCCATTATCGTTTTCACTGCTCTCTTTTAAATTATATTTCATATTTCATTTGCAACAATTTTCTTAGCTTTCCGAAATATTTCCTTTGAAAACATGAAAGAAGGAAGAGCAAAAAAAGGTATTAAGGAGGTGCAATTTGGAAAGGCACACTTATGTTGTAGTAATTATGGAATGTTTTAGGCGTAAAGAAATAAGTTGTTGTTTTTTTTCCCATTTTCAAGCAGGATTGAGAAGCTTCTGGTTCTACTTGTACTTGTTTTGTTGCAGTAATTGGATAGATTCGTTACCTTAAGCAGTAGTATTATCCGGTGCAAGCCTAACATAATCCGGTTTATCAGTCCTGTTTTCAATGGTTGCTTTTGAAATCATTTACTGAAATGTGCAGCATGAAAGTTAGCGATGGAAATAAATGATTGCCGTTTGCTTTGTTAAAGAGATGGTTAAATGTTAAAATGGATTAAATAGATAAATAGATAAGATGAATTTGATAATGTGGAGATAAATTTTAAATCATTGCTAGCTAATGATATATGTAGAGAAAGAATTGGTTCACGCTCTCTCTGATACAATATTTGATTGAAGGATTTAATTTAATTTTAGTGTATTCCGTCAACACGTGTGTTTACAAATGTAGGGAAGTGGGTAGTGTTTTTCGGTTCGCTGGTAGCTATCGATTTTTCCAAAGATTTGAGTATCACGTATGTTTGTACTTATTTACTCTTTTAATTTTCCCTTCAAGTGGTCGCTAGTAAGTTTCGTGTATATTCATTGATTGACTGATGATGATACATGGACGGTGTGCACTGCACTTTATTGTCATTGTAGCTCTTTGCGTTGTATGTGTGTTTGAAGTGACGAAGCAAGATAGAATGAGGCGTATTTGCATGAAAAGAAAAGAGGAAATAGAAATGGTTGATTTCCGATGTGACTAGATTCATCGAGGGTCTGATTTGATAGGGACTGCAAGCAGGGTCACTGATTTACTTCATGGCATGGCACAAATGCGATCACTGTTTTGGTTTCGAGATATATTTCTGGAAAGTAGTGCTTCTTCACCTAAAACAGCTAATCTAATTAAGAGCTATCTCATTTGCACGTACAAATTGAATTCACTTCATTTGCCGATTATTGCATTAATATTTGCATTCATTAGTGAAAACAGTTATTGCTTATTTTATTGCATAGATTGGTTTGCTCTTAAGCCTTTCTGTTCATGAACGATTTAAAAAGCAGCTGATATCAAAATGATTAAATTCCTTCATAAGCTAGTATGCTCAGTTGCACGTGAATGTTTACAATATGCGTCAGAATTAGACATTTTATAACTGTATTTGTTTCAGTGCTTTACCGTGTGGGCCAAACAATACTGGTCGCTTTTTTAGTGATATTTTCATTTTATATATTTTTCATCCCTGCCATTTATATTTGTTATTGTGAAACCAAACAAAATATATACCCCTGCATCGTTGATGAGTTCACAAAGTACTACTGCATCTTCAGCAGGTTAGATTTTTTCTTCTTTACATCTCAAATAGTTTCATTCACGAAGTTCTGCTCACGAATTCAGCTAACATCTAAGATAGATGTTACTACATTGATTAGCAAAACTTTTATTCCACAATTTAATCGATTAAAACAAAATCTAACCTGTTATGCGGTTATTTGGATATATGCAAATATTTGATGATGATTTGTACTGAGATTACTTATCACTTGATTTATTTGATAGCTAAATTCGTGAGTAGGATGGTGGGTATGGAGCGTCATGATTGAATTTTTTTTTATTTTTTAAATAAGATCTAGCCTGTACAGTAACTTCAGACAATTAATGTGATGTGTATTGAATAATTTTATAAAATTGTTTCAGGTGCCATTAGAGCATTAACATTAGAACTAAAAGGTTTGCAAACTTCACCTGTTGAAGGTTTTACAGTAACTGCTAACGAAGACAACATGTTCGTGTGGACTGTTGCTTTGTATGGCCCACCAGGAACATTGTATCAGGTTGGTAATGAAAGAAGGAAAAATTAGCGGTCATGGTTTTTGTGTTGTCACATTTTTTGCAGTAAAGTATTTAAAAAAAATCTACACTATGCTTTGACAAGCGAGTAGAAATTGTCTATTTTAACCTTAATTAATGCCTTTTCTCTTTGCTATGAGCGAGAATACCTCCCTGTTTGCAATTGTAATGATTATGCATCTGGTCACTGCTTGATTCTTAAAATGAACAAACAGCATCTATCAGCTTCTTTTATAATTTTTGGTAATCGACCACTAATTCTAAATGATTTTGTGACGTGTGGAGATTCATCGAATGAAATTGAAAAATAAGTTTGAATTTCTCACTTGCTGCTGATTTATTTTCCTCCATGATCTCTATGAGTGCATTAATTGTTTTCAAACGACATTTTCCGTTGACAGCCGTAGAAATCGAGTGGTAATGCTGCTTTAGAATTAGATTTAAAAGAGCGATCGCTATTGCAGTTTCTTATCGCACTCATTTCTTAACAATTGTTATTTTTAACAGTGTGCAATTTCTTGCCATTTACTCAGGATTACTATTGTGGTAATTGTAATTGGTAAATTAGATCATGTTATTGTCAGTTTCATTTATTGATTCTGATTCAGTACAATATTTTTTTAGTGGAGAATTATTGAAGGCAAACTAAGGTACTATTTGTAATCATGCGTATACATTAACTTCACTACATTATCTCTGCATTCATTGACTGATGGGTCAGTTTCATTTCAGGGAGGTTATTTCAAAGCAGTTCTGAAATTTCCTACAAATTATCCATATGCTCCTCCATCTATTAAATTTCTCAACAAAGTGTGGCATCCAAATGTTTATGAGGTATTTTTATCTAGACCATCAGTTTTTTCATCCATGAAAATGGATAAAAAACGTATGTTTTGAAATTGTGATATTTCAGAATGGTGAGTTATGTATCAGCATTTTGCATCCACCTGTGGATGATCCACATAGTGGTGAGCTTGCTTGTGAACGTTGGAATCCTACACAAAATGTCAGGTCAGTTGTATTGCTGTATTTCTGAAAGAGGAAGTTCTAAATTTGAACATTCTCTTCATGTAAGAAAAATTTCTCTTGCTTTTGTATTTAAAATTTAAATAGCATGTTTATTAATATACTATCTTAGTTTGCCTTCAATAATTGTCCATAATAAATCTAGATATGTCTTCATTCACCGTTTCCTACCTTAATGTGGTATTGAACAGAGTTTACCTTGCTCTGCTCAAGTGCATATTACTGAAATGGGAATTAATCAAGATTATAAGTGCAATTTTTATTTTAAAGAACATATTTAAAAGTAGAAATGCAATCGCTTTGGTATTTGCTACTTTATCCAAAAAATCAACAAAGAGGCTAAATTCTAAATTCAGTTAATACTTTGGGATTTTAGGACAATTTTGCTGTCTGTAATATCATTGTTGAATGAACCAAATACGTCATCACCTGCAAATGTAGATGCATCTGTTATGTATAGAAAATGGAAAGAATCAAATGGCAAGAATGACGAATATGCACGCCTTGTGAGGTCTGTATATAAAGTTATTTGCATTTTTTGACAACATTTTCCCGTTAAATGTTGTAAGTTTCTAATTTGTGTATTAGTGGTCAGTTTGCTAATGAAGTCTAAATAAACCTTTTAAAAAATGAATTGAAGATTCAAGTCAGTTTTTGTAACATCGCTGGGTCAATCGTTTGTCAATTTAGATATGCGTTGACCATGGTTTTGAGGAATTCATGACTTAATTATGGATTCACTATAAATTTTGCCATGCATTGAAGTTGTCATACATTTTTGAAGTCAGAAGTCATAAAACATGGTTGAAAGAAGGAAGGTCAATATGTTATGATTTATACGACTATAGTTCTTTAAAGGAAACAGGTTGAAGCTTCTCGATTAGATGCTGAAAGAGATGGTGTTGTCGTGCCAGAAACACTAGAAGAATATTGCATTAAAACAGCACCGAAACCAACTGAAGATACTTTTGATCTCGATGAAGACTATTATGATTACGGCGATGAAAGTGGTATATCATTTTTTCCATAATATTCTATCCTGTCTTCATTTCTGATCTAAAAATATATCTTACTCATTGTTTGGTGATAGTTTCGTATGTGGAGTAATTATTTAGTACATTTGAAATTGATTTACTCTATTTAAAATAGCTATTAAATTTTTTATTTACTCATAGTTTAGCTGAAAAAACTTCCAATCATTATAATGTTCTAAATTATTTTCTTTTTATTAATCTACATTTATTCACCTGTCAATAGAGTTTTCTTCCAATTCCTTCTAAATATTCTTGCAATTTCTAATGTAGTGTTTTTCGGTGATGATAAAAGAATGATTATAAGGACACATTTATAAATCATTTAATTTTTACAATTTTCAGATGATGAAGAGGAATATGAAGATAATGCAGATGACAGTGGACAAGGCGAAAACTAGGCATGAACAGACTTTAAATAGAGTTGAATCCGGTTTAATTGATTAAAACTCGGTTTAATTGAATATAAAAATGAAAGCTTGATAAAAATTTACCGCTCATAATTAATTTACCTTGTTCAGAGCAAAGTACTATTTTTACGTTCATTGTTTTCTGCATTTTCTTCATCGTTTTCCGGACTTTACTTACAACTGATTAACTATGAAGAATAAATTACAATAGCTATATTTTAAACGTGCATGATTCGTGGTCATTCGTCAGTGCTATGCCTTTTGTGACAGTATTTTTGCTAAAATTGTAGTATGTTTCAAATATTGCTGTCATTTTCTACTCAAGGATTAATCCATTATTTGAAATATCGTTTCTTACGTGAAAGCTTTTTACTTCTCAAGCCATTTAATTATATTTAAGCATACAAACATACAAGTTGCTCAACACTTTTGCGGTATTAATATTTTTTGTAAAAACTAAAAATTCTATTTTTTTATTTTAAAATTATTTGCATTTAGTAGTCGTCATTATTACAACTTAATTTTATTGTTAATTACCAGAGTACGGAATTTTGCGTACTGGGCCATGTTGCACAAATTTCAGGTTCTCATTTTAAAATGTTGCTTAGTATGTTTTTTATTGCTCTGTAAAGACTATTTATATATATATATATATAATTATCAAAGATTAAGTGATTTAAAGTTTTAAAGATGATGTATAAATGGTACTTTGCTATTCATATAATTTGTATGATATTTGATTGCTAATGTGGTGTAATGACCTAGTCCTTGATGCAACACCACACATTTTATCTCCACATGTATTTTTTGTAGTTTAGTTAATTGAACAGTAAGAAACGTTGGTGTTACAGAAGGAGAAGGCAAAAAAATGTATTTGCTAGAGTCTGTGTTGGTGCAAGCATTCATTGAGTATAATTTCTTGTATGTAAGATGCGACTTCTATAATTCGTTTTGGTTTTTGTTCACTTTTTATTGTTTCCGGTCATTTTTTCTTCAGATGCTAGGGTGATAATTTCAAGTGTTATAAATTAGTGTCATTTGTTTACCTGTGATGTGATCGAGGCTATATCTGCATGATAGTTTCTAAAATCTAGATTTAGGAAAATTGAGGATTTATGAAGGTATTGTTTTCATAAATTTCAGTTTCTTTTGAAGTTGATTCTTGATATTATAAAATTGATTGAATACTTTATTACTCTGTCGCATAAAAACTTTCCCATTAATTCTTTTAATTTTTTGATTTCAATTCTCACCTTAACTGTGCTAGTTATTTGCTAAAATGATTTACATCTTGGTCTTGTGATACTAAACTGATTTAGTTACTTTCGAAGTAGTGTTTGTGCATCAATTATTCTGCTAGAGGTGTGATCATATCTGATGGGGATTTTCGTTATTCCGTATTTGAAAGTAAACAGCCTATATCTTTCTGTAGCGTAAGACTGAAGTCGACTGAGTTAATTTGTTGATCGCAGAAACTGTTTCTATTTGTTTAGGTGAGATATTTCGAAGGTCGTTTTGTCGAAAAGAGTGGGTAACATCCAGAAAGTCAGTCGTAATTATTGTAGTCTAAAGATTGTGGAGGTTTCTGTTAGATTATTTGAATATGGAGTTTTTGGTGCTTAATGCAATAGTTGCGTACGTTGCAATTGGAGCATGGCTGAGAAAGATGTGTCTTCGGGGACATGTAGTGATGTTTTTAACATATTTCATCCATACTGCTCTTGCATTCCATTGATTTCAGCAATTTGATTAGGATATCTGGTACATGCTTATAAAATAGCAACACGATATTTGCAAGTGCTTAATTGTGCGAAAGAGGTTTTACGAGTGCGAATAATCTCTTTTTCTTAAAAAAATGTAAATGTTTTTACGAATGTTTTCGCGCACGGTAATCGCGTGTTGAGTTTTGTATTAGTCAGTTCTGTGATTTTGTTTTAGATGAGTAGACGGCAGAATCCAAGCGAGTTTTTGAAGCAAATCATCGGGAAGCCCGTAGTGGTCAAATTAAATTCTGGTGTGGATTATAGAGGTTTCTCTAATTTTTTGCATAATACGTTGTAATACATTCACTTCTTGTAATATATCTTATATTTCTTGTGAATTCTATGTTTTGACTTGAATGCACTTCCTTTTTCCTCACTACTTGTACTGATATTAAACAAAATCAACTTACTGAAAACTTCAGGAATATTGTCGTGTTTGGATGGTTTCATGAACATAGCACTTGAACAAACTGAAGAATATTCTAATGGTCAGTTAAAAAATAAGTATGGTGACGCATTTATAAGAGGAAATAATGGTATGTTGCATAAAATATTAGTTTGAGCAGTTTGGTATCGAATCCCTGTAATTTTCTTAAAAGCGGAGTTTCATTAATGGAATTTGATCCTGTTTAAACTTGACACTTTTGGTATTAAAATAGTTGTACTAAACTCGATTTCAGTATTTTACATCAGTACTCAGAAACGGTAACAAATGGACACTACTATGTACTGCTATGAAAAATTATCTGATCGATCATTCGACGTCGTGAACCTCAGTTTGTTTCTGAACATCTTTTGTATTTTTCACTAGTAATAGTACGTCTTTCTGATTGATACAAAAAAAGATTGCAATTTAATTTTTTCAAAATGTGCTGTCACTGCTGATAGCCAATTTACAATTATTGTCATATTATTGCAAAAAGAAAATTATGAGTTCATCGTGATGCAACAGCATAAATTAGAAATAATGGAGTACTTGAGTTTTTCACACCGAAAGCAATGTCTAAGCCATTCCTACTTGTAAATTTATTCTCATTTGACTAGAATTACATTCGTAAACAAATACTTGCAAAATTAAGAACTTTGTCAAAATCAAAAACTGATTAAATAGGAATAAATACTAACAAAAGTACGGGAACAAAATCCTGTAAACCAGAAGTTCAAGGAAAAATTGACATTTTTAATGAATTAATTGTACTAAGATGGTAGATTGCTTTATATGTAAATTTAGAAATCCGTTCTGTCCCCAACTTCAACAACAGCTTTGCTGCAAGTATTCGAGGAGACTTTTAGTAACAACAGAGATTTAGGAATGTAGTCCCGAAAATATCATTCAATTATAATTTTTGCAAATAAATAAGCTCACATCATTAACTATTATCAGCTGTAGAACACAATATTTTGAAGTGGAAATAAATTAGTAGAAAACTATAACAAATCAGAGACGAAAATGTAGTCATTTCCAACCTTTTCTAGTTAAAAAATCGTAATTTTTATTTCATAAAAAACGAGTATTTTCGGATAACATAATAAAAACCGTGATAGTATAATCTTGCCATTATGATAATGAATTAGCAGTAAAATATGAACGGAATAAGAATAGGTCAAGTAACAAAACTTTACATAATAAAGTTTGTTTTAACCATAGTAGCAAATTAGAAATTGGTTGGTTCGTTAAAAATTGTGTACGGCGTCTTCTTCATTTTCAATTCTAGATATTTTCTAGTCTCAGCAACTATGAAAACTGTTGATGTAAGCACTGTCAGAAAAATCAAATCTGCAAATATTCATATTTGTAGTCGGTATATATTATTTATAAATATATGTATACGCACCTATCTGATTCAAGAAAATATTATTTCCAGTAAAGATAGTGACTTCAAGCAATAACTTGTATGTCGAATTTCTACAAAATGACAATGATGTATGGCACATATCATGCGATTGGATGTTCCAAGAGGAAACTATTTGCAGATAACCAATTACGAACAGTCCTCCAGGTTAAAGGTAGCGAAGAACAAGCACTGTTCAACCTCACGGTTCGCAGAAAGCATAGGAACGAGCTCTGTACTACTACTGTATGACTTTAGAAACGCGTTCAGTTCATTAATCATGAGCTCCACTCATTTAAGTGCATTGAAAGGTTTAAACATGCCAGCGTAGATGAGGTTTCTGAGAAACATCACATCCAGATGGGCAGTTGTACTGAAAAACGATGGAGAAACTATAATGGATAAGAAAATACAACGAGGAATTCTCCAACGTGATAGCCTTTCTCCGCTGCTATTCGTCTTGTGCATGCACCCGTTGAGCCAGTGGCTCAATAAAAGGTACTCAAAGTTGGCGGTTCTTACTGATCAAGAAATGCGCGTAACGAGTCATCTGTTGAAATATTTGGAAAGAACAGAGAAATATGCTTGGAGCTGAGAAGGATATGTGATATACTGACTAATAAACTTAGATAAGAGATGAAATGAAGGACGAAAATAATCCCGCATGTGATGACTTGGAGTGGGACTGTAACGAACTTCTATAAACATTACGCGAGAAGATTAGTATATCTAATCGAGGAATATATCAAAACGATAGTGTTAAGATGTTTGAAAGCATCTCATTTAATAACTGCTATAGATTTCATGAAGATGAACTAGAAAAGATCAGCACAACAAATCTGAGCGCATGGCGAATAAGCCAGAAAGTCAGAATACGATCAAGTGCTAGAATCAATCAAGGAAAATAAGATTAACCTTGATGTGCGATATTAAATATCGCCCAAAAATGTCTGAAAGCATTTTCGTACATGTGAAATCATTCCATTCTGAAGATCACCGCTAAATGCTAATGAAAACGTGGAAATAAGAACTCGACACAAGAGTAAGAACAGCGATTACAATAAGTGTGGATCAATCGGAAATCTTAACTCATGGTTGAACAGAAAACACTTGCACTTTAGAGCTTGAAAAAAGTAATGTACAAAGAATAAATTATCTCACCAGATAAATTAAGTGCCTCAGTCTGGAAAATTCTCTGCAAGGGGGGGAAATATATTACTGCTAATTGACAAAGCAGAGATCCAAGTACAGCGAAACAAAACATACGATTCCTGAACAAATATGTAATATTAAACAATGGTTTATTATCTCATTAATTATTTGCATTATTTAATTTGCACACAAGTCAAAAGAACGATGCTTTCCATGAACTGCATAACATTTAGCTTCTTTGGTCAATATGACAACAATGGATTGAAAGACGAAATGAAGTATATTTCAACAACAGTATTCCAACAAATTATTCAATGGAAGTGTAGAGAAATGCAAGCATGTAATGTAAGTGCATTCATTAATTTGATTATATTTCAGTTCTATTTACCCAAATTCCAAACCGTGGAAAATTTACCTGAATAAACCAATTTCCCAAATCATCTTTCTACTTGAACGACACGCTAATGCATTCCACATATCGAATAAGACAAAGCACGTAAAAGTCATTGTTGTGTCGCGTGGTGTTACTTCATTATCTATTGTCATCTAGAAACAACATAAGGTTCGTGTAAAATTTATCAGATTTAAAATATAATAAAATCACCCTTTGAACATTCATGAGCTCTATAAAAATTGAAATAATGACTGCTGATATTTTAGATTTTCAGAAAAAATTATATTGTTGCCAACTTTATTAGAACACAATCATACCCCCAATTCATGAAATTGTTTCAGTTGAAACTATATTGAACGATAAATCCTAAATAAAGTACCAGCATTTATGTTCACAACCAATAGAATATGACTAATTTCCTTTAAAAATAAATTTGGATAGTTTTATTCAAATCCTTGATTTGTCTACTCACTTGGAACTCAAACTAATGAAGAAAAATTCAAAATAACTTCATTAGAGGAAAACAAATTAATTATCAACAGAAGAAAGTTTGCATTATTGAGAAAATAATTCACTTCTTTGTAAAAAACTGTCAATGTTCCAGCAATGATAATTGCTGCCGATATCAATATATTTGTTATGAGTGCATTATTAATCATGGGTTGCCGTACATTTCTTGGCGGTTGGCGAATGATATCCTGAAATTCTGTTTAAGAAGGACAACACAAATATATAAAAGTTTACCATAGCGAATAAAAAAGGCGACTTGAACAGTAAAAGAAGAACTGATGTTATCACCACAAAGGATTTTTCATTCGCATCTTTCCTTTTTTCTCACTGCGATCTACTAAATACATCAAATAGATGAGACGGAAAGGGGAAGGTATAGCAAATTAGGCACATTGCTGTTTTTCAAATACAAACAAAATCTCGATGCTATCATGATGTGATCAAAAAATGTACGACTAATCATACATTTCAATATTAGCACAAATAATCTTAACTTAGATCAATCTCAAACTCACTTACTCTGTCAACAGGTTCAACACCTAAACTTTGAGCAGGTGGTCCATCCATAATGATATTAATCCACAGTATTTGCATAGCATTTAAAGGGTTTTCAAATTCAAATAAAGTTGATATTGCAATCAGTGATAAAGCTGCCACACTTCTGAAACTATCAAAAAATAAAACTGCTTCATTCTTTTTGCGACGAAATTTTTAGTAAACAGAAAACAAAACCAACGTGCTTAGTTGAAATCGCACAAAATTTGTAATGTTATGGTAAATGCCTTTGCCTTCTTCGATAGCAGCTCGAATCGTATAAAAATCATCATCTGTGAGTATCATATCCGCAGCTTCCTGAAAAAAAACTGCAACTATTTAGAAAGCACTCTCTATGTTTTACTTTATGCAAGTAGCTTGAACAATAATTTTTTTGTACAATTAAAACAACTGCAAGACCAAAAGCTATTCGCATTTCAAATACAAAAGCAATGATTACTTGAAGAATCATTACCTTGCAAACATCTGTACCTGTAGAACCCATTGCGATACCAATATCAGCTTTCTTGAGCGCAACCACATCGTTAACTCCATCACCTGTCATTGCCACCACATCTCCCACATTTTGCAGTGCCTAGAAAATTTTATCGAGCATAAGTAAAATTTCACAACATAATAACTTTGAAGAATAAAACAGTAATCAAAACTTATTTTGATGCGTCTTTTACTTGATCACTATACAGGATATATGTTATTACATGAAAGTACTACAGTACAAGTAAAACAAGGAAGGAGGTACAAATTTATCATAGAATGAAATTCTATGATAAATCTGAAAAGTAAAAAATAAATTTTATATTTTCAAGTAATGATGCAGATTCTATGCAAACGAAAGCTGTATCCTTGAAAGTTAATTGCAATCAAAGTGATTTAAGAAAGAATATGAACAAACAAATAACTTTAACGATCCGCAATTTATGCATTGGAGAAGAGCGATAAAATATTGTTACTGCTTTTATTACTCGTTCAAGATCCAAATCAGACATACGATCTATTTCTGGACCAGACAAACAAACATCACCCTCTTTGAATAGATTTAAACGAGAGCCTGAAACACAAAACTGTCTACAAAATATGAGAGTAACTTTGACAAAACATGTAACTTAAAATATACCAATGCTACAAGCTGTTTCCATAGCATCGCCAGTAACCATTTTCACTTTAACACCAGCAGACTGCACAATCTCGATGCTTTCCGCGACACCCGGCCTAGCTGGATCGACAATGCCGACCATTCCAGCGTAATATAATTCTTGTTCAGTGCCACAAGCCAAAGCTATCACTGAGAAAATACGAAAAATTTAAAAAAAGGAACAAGAATCACAATGCATTAGACATTATTCTTCTCCCATATTCTTTTGATTTTTTCGTTATTAAAGTCCACATATGTATAGTTTATACTTCCAGTAGTTTGTTATAATATCAGTGAATATGTAAAGAAGCGCATAAGAAATAGTTAAAATCAAAGCTGTCATTACATTAACAACTTGACAAGCACTTTTGAGAGCTAAAGGAATGATAAAAGATTATTTTTCTAACTAACCTCTTAAACCTTGTGATCCTAAATTATGACTTGTTTCAATAATACGTTCTTTCACGATACTATTAAATTTCACACCGCTTGTACCATTTTCCAAGTAACCTGTGCACATTTCTAGCACACAATCCAATGCACCTTTAACCAGCAGCTGAATTCGCCCACTACTCTGAGAATTCCAAATAAAAATATATACGATAAGAATTCACGAAAACAAATTATGAACTAAACAAATTTGATGTACATATTTATATATTGTAAGTTGAAGACTAAAAAAGAATCGCATTGACCACCAAAAATTCATTTTATTTTCAGCCACCAATGTATTAATAAAAAATATTTTCACAGTAATAAAATAAAAACAAAATTATTGTAACCTGGACATGTTCACATTGTACAGCCATCCATTTAGTTTCTGATGAAAATGGTATTTCTTTGATTCGCTTATAAAATTTTGCTTGTTCATCTAATCGCGTCTGTAAAGTAAAGTTTTAATGAAATAAAGATGACGAAAATTTTCAAACAAAAAGTAAAATATTTTCATATTATAACAAATTAAAGTAAATAAAATGAACAGTAATTATTACAAATTTTAACTTTAAAATTAATCACTGAATATAAATCTGAGGAACACTTCAGGTTTGTAGTGATTAATTTAAAATGGGTATTTCCATAATCTTATAAATTAGAAACAAAAATTTCATTTTCAATTTACGAAAAAGCATCCAAGACCTTCATTCCGAGAACCAAAAGAGCACCCTCTGTTGGTTGTCCAATTAAAATACCTTCCGATAAAATAGCATTATTACAAATGCAACCAATTTCAATTATTCGGCTTATTGACGGATGAGAATGACCAATAACACGTTCTCCTCTAACAGTACACATACCGCCTTCTAACGAATATCCAGTACCTAGCACCTCAAAAATAAAAATAAAAAAATTAACGAAAAAATATCTAACTATAACTGAGATTAATTTAAAACAAGGTACAAAAAGTAAACATAAACTTCACAAAGAAAGAGTACTAAAATAATAACCTGTGATCATTTATGCAAAGGTAAATATAAATACTAAAAGCGATTTTCCAATTTTTAGAATAATATTTTAAAGGTCAAGAAACATACGTCAGCAACTTGCCCATCAGCAGAGACAATAGTAACAGCGGTCATTTCATTTTTAGTCAAAGTTCCAGTTTTATCAGAACATATCACTGTGACACATCCAAGTGCTTCAACTGCAGGTAATTTTTTTACAACCGCTCGACGGGCTGCCATTCGTATCACACCGATGGCCAGTGTTACTGCTACGACTATCGGTAGACCCTCAGGTATTGCTGCTACTGCCAAACTAAAAATTAAAAAAAAAATGAATCAATTTATTGTCTTAACCTTTCGCCAAATTTTTGTTCCTTCAATACACAATGGAACTAAATATACAGAAATCTTTTTACTATTTAACAGTTTGTATAATCTGGAATCAAAAACCAGCTATATTATATACTAATTTTTGAATGTCTTCCAAAATGTTTCATGTTTTATACTTAGTGATTTAGAACACTAAATTCATTCTCAGAGCTTCACATTACCTGACAGCAATTCTAAACATTTCCAATGTATCACGTCCTTGGAATAGACCAATAAAAAATATAACAATTATTATTACAAATGAATATAGAGACAACTGTTTGCCTAAGTAATCCATGCTGTTTTGTAGCGGTGTTTTAGGTGCCTAAAACAACAATGTACATGAAAACAACAACGATGTTAGATGTTGGAAATCAAAAAAAAGGATTCATTGGCTGAGAGTATTACTTAAAGCAAGTATCTTTTTTTTCACTGTAACTGAATATATGGACAAAAATCTAGAAGCAGATAATTTGAGTAATATCATATCATTAGTTTAACTATAAAATGTTACTTACTTCTTCAGCTTGCATCATTTTGAAAACTTCACCAAAGCGTGTATTTGCACCAGTTCCGATCACTATACCCTAAATATTTGAAAACGTGAAAGCACTACATCATGAAAAATTTCAATTGAAAAACAAAGAAAATACTTGAAAAAGAAAGTTATGATCAAACATAATGACCATTAATAATCAGCTACAAGGACTGGAAATTATAACCAGCTAAGATTAACTTATTTAATTACTATGTTATACCCATACTTATAGTTTTTCGAGCTCAAAAACAACTGGTTTATTTTATAGTAGTTTTAATTTTATGAAAAAGATAAAAAAGAGCTCCAGTTTATGGTTTTTACTTACATTACAGGTGTTTAAATTTACATTCCAAATTATTTTTCATGATTTTTATTATTTTACAGCAAACAATATGACCTAAATATCTCACAACTTACAAAACACTATTGAATTCAGCTTCAATAAAGATTAACATTACCTTGCCACGACCACCTCTTACCAAGGTACCCATATATACAACATTATCAATGTGATCGACATTTTCTGAACTATTTGCGAACGATTTAACATATTTATGTCGTGGTTCTAATTCTCCAGTGAATGATGACTCATCGACTTGTAAATCTAAAGCCTACAATTTCTTTGACTTTTTTAAACAAGCATTTTGAAATTATCACCATAATTTTTCTGTTCATTTAAACTTAACTTCATACTTAATTACAAAATTTTAAAAGGTGATAGAAAAATTATATTAATTAAAGTAAAATACTCTCTAATAACTGCTGTATATTTAAAAAAAATGAGATTTCTACAGTCAAAACACAAGCAACTATTAATGTCGTAATTACCTAGTTAATACGTAAAAATTATGTTAAGATCACGTCAAAAGGATAATGACCAATTAAATTTCTTCAATTTAATGGTATCAAATATAATACTTCAAATAACCGCAAATCCGCTGGTATACGATCACCAACATTTAATAAAACAATATCTCCAGGTACCAATTCACGAGCCAAAAACTGAACTTCACGATCATCACGTATACTGAAAACATAATTTTACTTTGTAGAATTATCCAGTATAATTTTGAATCATAAAATTATTCTGCATTAAAGACAAAAGAAAAAAAATACGTGTGGCACGTTGGTGGTACGAGCTTATTTAAGTGTTCTAGGGTTTTCTCAGAGCGATATTCTTGTACGAATCCTACAGTAACTACAATTACAATCGCCACGGTAATACTTATAGCATCTTCACTCTGTCCCATTAATAGTGATATTGCGGCACTAGCAAGCAGTAGAATAATTAGCGGATTTTTAAACTGAAATAGGAGAACAAAGTGATATGGAAAATACTTGAAAAAACTTTCCCCCAAAAAATCAGTCTAAATGAACAATGAAAAAAATTTGGAAAAAATAAAATTTTGCAAAAAAACAAGATTGCATAAGCTCTTTCTTCCATCGAATTCTCACATTTTTAAGAAAGGCTACTTTAAATTGAATTAATTCAAGTTATGTAAGCCATCAAAAAATTTTACACTTCTAACTGACAGAAATTAATAGTAATTAAAAAAAGTTTTAGTTAATTTACGAAAACTGAAACTCTTATAAACCTGATCAAGATACTTCTTCCAAACATGATCATGATCTTGTATATCGAATTCGTTATAACCATTATATTTTTGTCTTCCAACCACTTCAGATGTCGATAATCCTCGCTTGATGTCAGTTCGTAATAAATCTGCACATTCCTGAGAATGATATACAAAAAATTAACATTTTCAAAACGTTATTTTAAAATTTCGGATCACACATTTGCAAAAGAGTAATACTTTCCTTTGATTCGAAGTGAGTTGGTGAATATATGAAAAGTTCTTACATATAAAGTTCCATATAAATTAGTTGACCGAATATTTTAAACTAAAAGAAATTGGAATAGACTGTAGCTTTTTCTAAATAAATATTTTATATATAAAACATTCAATTTGAAAACTGCAGCAGTAATACTTACCTTGAAAAAATTTAAAGGTAAGTAACCAATCAATCAATTAATTAATCCCATGAAATAATGAAATGAATACATAGCAATTTCGAATTTAAAAAGTAGCTTAAAAATCCTTAACTGACACTTTAAAACAAATAAGTTTAAGAAATTTGAATACATTAAGCATATTTCTTCAACATGATAATAATTAGTAATTTTGCATACCACAGGAGAAAGAGTAAAAGCCTTCAAAGCGCTGATTGACTGTATCATCGTACTGTCGTTTATTTTTGGTGAGAACTTAGTAGCAGATTTTGTATAAGTTGTCGACGATCCAAAGCTAGCGTAGTGACATCGTTTCAATCCTTCTTTCTGTAATGATTAACAATCTTCTAGATATCTGAAATCAACAGCTCAACTAACTTACTAATAAATAAATAAATAAATAAATAAATAAATCAGCTAAGTTATTGTAGCCATTCATCAGAAGCTGATTCATAACATAACAAAATAAGTGAATACGAGCAGAGAGTACGAGATAAATTAATGATTTAAACGACTGATACGTATTCAGATTCTATTCTAGATGATTCTTTCTCTACCTTACCAATATTTATAGCATAAAATTAAGGCAGAATTCAACTCATTATCTTTTAATTTAAATAAACTATATTTATTACTGAATAATGTAACTCCACATGTAATTCATTATGTGAAAAGTCATCATAATGCCTTTTTTGTTTGTCAGAATTGCAAAAACGTTTCTGTCAGTCACATTGTGTCCCTAAAAAATTTGACATTTAACCTTTTAATACTAAAAAATAACTAACAAATGGTCACAATTAATTGTTAAGCAATTGAAAAACTATTTTATTGTTTGGAAGGAAAAAATATTTTCCGTAAGCAAAATTTTTTTCAGTACACCCATATTCTTCATTATGACTACTCGTATATTTTTAAATCATAACTGCTTAATAACAAAACAGAACAACAACTTGTTTATTACAGGAACGAATTCATAGAATAATTATGCAAATTATTCAATGAATTAGTTTCTGTTATTAACGCAAATGAAGATGTCTCTGTATGCATTATTAAAGCAATGAACTGAACCCTAATTTGGTTGTTTTTTTCAAATTATACACCTAAACTCATATTCAAATCACATATTCCTTCCAATGTGGCGATAATTTAATATAAATAATGAAGAGTTCCAAGAATACAGTACAAAATAATGCAATCAATATAAATAGTTTACTGCAAGCTTTTTTTGTCTTTTGTGTATTTCATGAACATTAAGTGGAAAAGTCAACGATGGCTGGTACATTGCATGCACTACGTAAAAATGACTGAATTCGCGATACACAATCATCATTTATCGACAACGTCATATAATTATCATTTTCACAATTACTGCTTGGCGTTTTCAACGATTTCAAGACAATATTAGCGAATGTTGCAGCAACAGTAATACCAGCATTGATTGAAAGTAAGTATAAGCTAAAACTGAGTTGATACTAACTTTAGTGGAGGCATTAGCAGCAGTTGCTATTGTAATAATATTAGTAGAAGCAGCAGTAGCTGTAGTAGTAGTATTGGTATTATCAGCAGTAACTTTAGAATCCATTTTAGCGTTGCTATGCTTTATCAGTCTCGCTAATCCATCCGTTATAACATATCAAATTCTTGAAACTGATTAGCACTCACTGCACTAATTGTAATATTAAACTGGACGTTTCCGAAAAAATCTGCAAATTTTATAGATACAGAAATACAATTTTCTTAGATGAATCAAGCCACAAACATTCTAAGTTGCGAGATGAAAAATACGCTGTGCTGCATTCACACTAATTCATAGATTTATTAAAATGCAGAAAGAATTCATCTGAAAAGTATTTGCAAACTTCTCCTAACAATAATCCATTTCAAACAGTCTCATTTCTTGAAACTGGACTTTGCATTAATATTCGTTCAACTTGCAATGAAATGAAGTGTCGCTGTTCCTGAAGGAACGTCAATGCTAAGCACTCACTCACTGCTGCTGCCTTCTGAACAGCTATCACTGTTCACTGCATGAAAGTTGTTTGAAATTGCTTTTTAATGCATACTTTAATAAATGTCAAAGTATTTATTATATTATCCGACAAAAACTTATTCAGCTCTGAATAATTTCTCCTTCGCTATTTCTTCATAAATCTACTACTACTCTCTACATTGCACAACTCCCGCATGAAAAACGACTTGATTCGTAATGCTTCCCTCGCATTACTGTAATCAACAAATGGCCATTCGATTGAAGGAGTGCGAGAAAAGCATCTCAGTCGTACTAACAAAAAATATTTCCAGTAATAATAATAATAATAATAATAGGAATAATAATAATAATAATAGGAATAATAGGAATAATAATAATAATAATAATAATAATAATAATAATAATGAAAGGAATAAAATAGTGCAAATATTTAAGCGAATTAAACTTCACTCCTCATACATCACACACGAACGAAAATGTTTTCAATTAAAGGCCATTTCCTTGCCGCCATGACAACATGACAATCACAGTTGGTCAGTACTCATGTAGGAAATTTGCATAATTGTCAGTACAAATTTTTATCTCTAATTCAATGAATAATTAATTTAATTCAAAAGAATCTCACAAAATTAAACATGGTCATTTAGGAGACTTTTAAATAATGCTTGAATTTATGTTATCGAAAAATAACTGATTTCTATCATCTCATCTGTCTGCTAATATTAACAGCTCAACATTACTATTATATATCCACACTTTCTTAACACAGTTCTTCACCCTGCACTTCCAGTGCAAGCTTTCAAGTGCCTGAAACTGTGACTGCCAAAGAATGAATCTCCATGAAGTATCGCTTAAAGAGTGCAGCTAACTGACTGCATACAATTTACTTGACTGTTTGATTCGCTTGAAAATCTATCAGTTCTTCAATGTCTACGGCAGTGTACTCACATTTCAATTATTACTCTGAAAATTCATTCAATCAACAATAACATTCTGAATCTTTTTCAACATTACTTCGCGAAGAGCACAGACTAGCTTGTGACTGTCTGCATGCGTCTTCATATTTAATGCTGCAAATAACTACTGAAATCATTCATCCATCAACGATATCTCTATTTTAATTTCTAATTTAGCTGCGAAAATTAAGAATGCCATATATTCAAATCATTTTTTCCTCAAAAATGAATAATCGAATATTCAGCCAATACTAA